TCATTCTTTTTCATGTTATCGCATTTCTCCTTTTCATTATCACTACATGTAGTGGTATTATCCTCTTTTACTCCTTCTGTATAGTTTTCCGCATCTCATTGCCTACTTTTACGTTGTTTTGACCGGCCATGCTCATTTCTACATGGTCTTATTTAATTCTTTTTACCCGGTGCTAATCTTGAAGAGGCCTACGTCATGTATATATTATATATAATTATTATGTTGCTTACAATTTGTTATACATTTGTATCTAGTCACTTTTGAATACCAGTCACTTTTATTGACATTTCCCACCGTTTTCTTGTTTTTATCCTCTTTTTTGTCCTCATTTTTACAAGATATATTAATTTGTTTCCGTTGTATTGTCACAGCAAACTGTATAGAACAAGTCATTATCGCAAAAACGTCAATCTTTCCAGAGGTTAAATCCATAAAGAAGCTGATCTTTTATGAACTGTATCAAATCTGTCACGTAGCCTCCCTAAAAACTATCTCACGAACACGTTTTAAGATCTAAACATCTAGGCACTTTTTTCCTGTCTGTTTATATTTGGAATACAACATGTACACTGGTCTCAGTGACAGGGTTTTTTTTGTGGGATTTTTTTTTCAAAGCTGACCATTTCTCCTGACTTTTTTAGAGAGAAAATTTGAGGTCTATAAAATCTGTCGTGTAGTACGCCCCTACAACTGCTCACGGATACATAATTTTAAGATCTAGAAATCTGGTCATTTTTCCTGTATGTTTTAAAATATTTGTTATACATTGGTCTCAATGATAATGTTTTCACAATGTTTTTCAAAGCTGCCACTGTCCCTGCCTTTTCAGAATATTTGGAGGTTCCATGACAAAACTCTTTGAGCTAAGAAAAAAGTAATGTCCCCCACCCCACCGCCCTGACTCAGTAAATTTTCTTTGTGAGGAATTTAATTTAGTCTTCTGAATATTTTAATAATAATATGTTGATTCCTGCTATAATTTCACTCTATAAATAAACAAAAAACTCCCGTTTAGTTCTCAATTTACTTTTCGAGTGAAATATCAAATTACTTTAGAGGCATTTCGATTATTAATGGCTTCGTCATTCGAAGGATTTCCGAAAATCTAGCAACAAAGGAAAATTGAATAATGGAATAGATTCATCGTTTCGAGGGTGTTTCCTATCTGTGTTCGCTATGTCCTCCCTCTAGCCTACATTCTTTGCGGGAATCATTTTACTTCGTATTATCTCTCATTTCTTAGCGGAAGGTTTTTGACTGATGATGCGAGTTTTCGTTATGGACCTCTCTTTTAAATGTTGTCGCTCACCAACATGTACATGATTTATTTCAACGGCAATAAAACTGTCAGCCTTAAAATGTGTCTTGTTTTCTAGTTTTGTTCTGATAAACAAAAAGAATTGGTTTTATTTTCGACTCTCTCCCTCTTTCTCTCTCCCCC